CATTCCTGCGTTTTAAAACGCTTGTTGTTTTATTGTTTATTGCAGTATGTAATACTTCTTAATTCGGTTACAATTAAACCGACGGCTGGATGAACTTATTAATATACTGTATTTGTTATACAGTATGTGGTCGTGAGTTAGGAGCGGTCTTTGTTCTCTGTAAACTACTTCCAAAACACGCTCTAAACGATCGGCTGCAGCTGGGATCAGGTGTTCTGAGCAGCTGGTCGTTTATCTAGTGAAAGGAAGTTGGACTCAATCATATTCCATCTTGACCACGAGGTAATCCCGTAACTCTTTGTTAGCTCCTTCCAGCAGCGTCTGTCCTACAACACACTAAGTGACCTGGCTCAAGCGCTCATAGATGGAACTGTGTATGAGATAGTTCAGGGGCTGTTGGACATTCAGCATCTGACAGAGAAGAACCTGTACAACCAGAGACAAAAACTGCACTGTGAACATCAAGGTTGGACTCTGTGTACCAAACTCTAGGTGGCACTAACCTGACTTGGAGCGACTTTGAATTTTTGAGATAATTGTGTTTATTCTTTCCGTGTTCAGCGCTCAAACAGGACCTTGTACGAAAACACAAAGATGCTTTGCAGATGTGCCGGTCACACAACCTTGGGCTTCTCAAATCAACTCACCAAACAGAACTAGAGGTTTGACAGTGAAGCAATAACATACATTATACAAGTGGTTATAGTTTAAGGCCCTTCTTTAATGGAAGCTCTGTGTTGTGTTTCCAGACTTTGGAACTACGAGTGAGAGAGGAGCAAAAGATGATGGATAAGAAGATTGTAGCGGAAATGGATCAAAAAGTCATTGACCAGCAGAATACCCTGGAAAAGGCAGGCGTTCCTGGGTTTTATATCACCACCAATCCTCAGGTTACCCTTGATTAATTTGCAATCGCTACAGTTTATAATTTAATAATTAATTCATAATTTAATATTTAAATAATATTCCAGGTGTTTCGGTTAAATGGTTAAATTAAATGTTATAAATCCTGTCTGGGGGTTCTCTCAGGAAACTGAATGTTAAAACTCCTCATACTGCAGTACTGTCAGCCAACTGGTACTAAATGTCTGGAGGAAGAGAAAATATATAAAATATATTTGAAGCACATTGTAATACTAAGTGATTTGACAGGGTGCAGGTTGTTGGTGCTTAGCTTTCAGCCAATTCATTTAAACACCTTTCATTCTGTTAGTTTGAGTAGCTTTTAATTGACATTTTAGGTTTGGTTGGGTTTTATCTAAAAGGTAAAAATGGTAGTGAGTTGTTAATGGAATGTTTTAATGCAGCTTTACAGCGTCGGGGGCGACAAGGAGGACAAGCATCGTACTTTCATAAAAAGGTCCTGTCTAACTCTTAAACCTCTGTGTTTCAGGAACTGACTGTGCAGATGAACCTGCTGGAACTGATCCTTAAGCTTCAACAAAAGGAGTCCCAGTCAGGAATAATATGAGAAGAAAGTCAAAGACACACAGGACTGGAACTGACACGGTGCTGTTAACGGACGACTGTCTGAAATAAACTGCAGTTCACATGGAACTGCTTTAAAAAAGAAAAACTGAATGTTGAATGCTCTGATGTCAGAGGACAGTTCTCAAGTATTTTATTTAGAAGTACTGTAGAGGACGTCAAAAAAGAGCAACTTGCATTATTTTAACGCAAGCAGCAGTCATGTGGTGATTGTTTATGTATGTAATTATGGTACATTTTTAAACTAAGTTCTTTACCAGAAAACACGCAGTTAAAGTAAACGTTCACTGTTAGTACTGATCCATGATGTTTACTTTGTGCTAATTAAGTAAAAGAGAGACGGGGTAAATTCTGTTTGCGTAAAGCCGGTTGTGAACAGGCTTTTTGAAGAATGTTTATTTCAGGCAAATACTGCAGTATTAAGTAAGTAATCATCATTCTTTACTTGTTGTTGCCCTGATTATACTGTCATTATAACACAGGTGAAACATCTTTAGAATATCTTTGAAGCATCCTTGTATTTTGAGTATTGGTAAAGGTTGAGTGTATTCTAATTATTGTCACAATCTGCATGGAAATTCATTTGCAATTAATAAATGACAAATTCACAGTTGAACCTGTTGTTAAAATCATAACACTTTGTTAACTTGCATCATCATCATCAACATCAAGTTAAACAATATTGTGGTTTACAACTTGAATGGTTTTGTTGTTTAACTTGCTCTCTATTCAGAAAAAGATGAGTGTCCAATGCTGGAGTCAGTGCGGAGTTTGTCGGAGGTAGAGGGAGGTCCTGGCTTCGAGTAATCGGCGACTGTACCTTTAAGACGCTCCAGCCAGTGTTGGTTTTATTTGCCGTTCTGCTTCATCATCAGACGATGCTCCCTGCACCGCTCAGCACCGAGGACATCCTGGACAGGCGAGGTAAGACAATCTTTTGCGAATGTCTATGGTATTTATCTGCGCAACTCTTTCTTTTTTAATTTAAAACCCTGTGCCTTAAAATAAGAGAATGGAAAGTCGACGTCGCTGTGCAGTAATTGTGACGTCCGGGAGAAAGAGGAAGTCTACCGTAGACTGCATGTTGATATTAAATATTAATTCCCTCCACAAAAGAAAAATAAAAAGAATAAAAAATTAAACAGTTGTTCTGTATTTCTGCATTGCCGTGGACATTTAACAATATTTGTAAATATAATACGTTTTCATAACGTGCGGTGGGTTCTGGTGTGGGCTTATTTCTAAAGGAGGATAAAGCGTTACGTAATTAAAACAGAAATCCTGCTGTCGCCATACTCAGTGATCGTGGATGGACCACGACGATGATCAGATGATGCAACGCCCGAATCAGATGAAGGGCTTTTCATGACGCACACATGAAACGAGACGATTAATCCAAAACAAAATAAACTTAAACAGTTGTTGTTTTTTTATCTCTGAGGAGCAGTGATGGTTGTGATAATGATACTGAGTGACAGACTATTGGTTCACCAATACATGATTATAATAGAGAGCTTCATTTTATTATATAAGTAGCCCAAATTAACAAAACATTTGACCTGACATGTTTACATTAAAATAACCAGAAAATGTCCATACAACAGGGAAACAGGATAAATGTATATAAATGTATATATAAATGTATATACGTATTGATCAGTTTGTTATCAGAGAGACACCGTGTTCTACTAAGTGTCAGAAGACGGTACGGAACCTTTTAGTTTTTATTCTTCTGGGTAAGAATGGGTTTGATGTTTGTCCCAGCTATTGAGGCAGGGCCGCACCTAGCCAAACGGAGGCAATGTCTCTGTCATTGATGTGGAACCCCGGGGTTCACCTCCTGGGCAAGATCGAATCCCGGTCAGGGCGGTTGGTACCTTCCAGTTACCACCTGCAGGAAGGTTCAGGAGGGTTGGTACGTGTGATTTGGGATAAGTGGATGAAAATGGATGGATGAGTGATAACACTCAACTAAAAAGACTTGATAAATACTGTGGTAATCCAGTCATTTTACTAAGCAAACTACTGAAAGCCTTTGAGACATCAAGTTCCCAGAGATATTTGTATTTTTCTGCAGTTCATGCATAAAATGACACTTGAATCCACACAGTTGTTCTACAGAGTTTGCGCCGGACATACTCCTTTTATGACCACAGGAGCAATGACGGCAGTGTTGTTTTAGAACTACTTGCATGTTTAATGCTACACACGTGTCAACTTGCTGTGCTTATCCGCTTTAACCTAGCTATCCACCATTATAATCTCTCCTTTACTCCTGTAAAGCATTACAAAATATTCACCAAACCTGTTTTTATGGCTGTGATCATAAGGGATCATCCAGGTCATTTTATCCAAAAATCGAGGGCAACTGGACGGAGTAGTTTTTCTTTTTTCTTTTTTTTTTTTTGAAAAGATTTCACATCTCATCCAAGAGGCTTCTTCAGTTCTTTGGAACTCTGTCCAGTTGCCCTTGATGTAACTATTTATGGACTAAGTGACTTAGCAGTGATTTGTCACATGTACCATCCTAAAGAAATTCATTTTAGCCACAAATGACATTGTGGTAAACTTGGAATTGTATGATTCTTTGTTTTGTGTGAAAGGTTCAAAAAGTTTAATCACAAAGTTGCTGATGTTGGGTTTTTAGTGTTGTGTCTGTGTTTTGTCTTCCAGGTCATGGTCACAGACAAGAAATAGAAATGACACAGATGACAGAGACCCTCCACAGACTCCGTGTGTGACTGTTCTAACCCTAACCCTCTCTGGCTGAATTCCACTACTGAGCAGCTATGGCAGCTTGTCCAAAAACGTGCACCCCAGTCGTGCGCTTCTGTGAGAAACTGAAACGGCTCAAGACACTCGACGATGATATGATGGCCACATCTCTAAAACGCTGCCTGTCCACTGTGGACCTTACTCTGCTGGGAGTGGGGGGCATGGTGGGTTCAGGGCTGTACGTCCTAACAGGGACTGTGGCCAAAGACTTGGTCGGCCCTGCTGTCGTCCTTTCATTTCTGTTTGCAGGATTTGCGTCTTTACTGGCCGCCTTTTGTTATGCAGAGTTTGGGGCACGAATTCCCAAAACTGGATCTGCTTACATGTTCACATATGTTTCTGTGGGAGAAATCTGGGCTTTTCTCATTGGTTGGAATGTGATTCTGGAGAACATGATTGGTGGTGCTGCTACAGCTCGTGCTTGGAGTGGCTATCTGGACTCCATTTTTGACCATGCCATTCAGAACTTCACAGAGACACATGTCATGCAGTGGAAGGTGCCCTTTCTCGCCCACTACCCTGACCTTCTTGCTGCTGGAATCCTAGTATTGGCCTCAGTCTTTATTTCCTTTGGAGTTCAAGTCTCCTCTTACCTTAACCATATATTCACAACCATTAGCATGTGTGTCATCATTTTCTTATTAATTTTTGGCTTTATGTTGGCTGATCCTTCCAACTGGAGCCTTAAAGAAGGAGGCTTTGCACCGTTTGGAATTTCTGGAATACTGGCAGGTTCTGCCACATGCTTCTATGCCTTTGTTGGCTTTGATGTGATAGCGTCCTCTAGTGAAGAGGCCAAAAATCCACAGAAGGCAGTTCCCATTGCCACGGCAGTCTCCCTCGGACTGGCAGCGGCAGCATACATCCTGGTCTCCACCGTGCTGACGCTCATGGTCCCCTGGTATTCGCTAGACCCCAACTCTGCTCTGTCTGATGCCTTTTTTCGTCGTGGTTACAGTTGGGCTGGAATAATTGTGGCCATAGGGTCCATCTGCGGTAAGTGATAATTCTGACTGTCTACACCCTTGCTGTTAATGACTTTTTATAACAATAACAACAATAATAATAATTCTTTGTATGTTGGCAACTGTCAACATCAAAAAAGCTGTTTCACCCCCAAATACCTGAGAACTGCACAAGGGTGCTGAGTTAGGGGCTGGGTCGGGGGCTGGGTCTGGTGAGTTTGTTGGTGGTAGACGTATGGTTTGACACAAATATAAGTTCTATGACTTATATTATGGGTGAATGGATGGAAAGAAAGAAAGAAAGAAAGAAAAGAAAGAACTTTATCAAGGGTGCAGGAATTCCCTTCAGGTAATTAAGGATTGGACACACATTAGGTAATAACATAACGATATTTTGGAATTCTCTGTCTTGTCTTTCAGCCATGAACACAGTGCTGCTCTGTAATCTCTTCTCCCTCCCTCGGATCGTCTATGCAATGTCAGAGGATGGATTGTTTTTCTCCATTTTTGCAAGAGTCAATCCCGTCACTAAAGTCCCTGTCAATGCTATATTGGTGTTTGGAATCCTCATGGCCATCATGGCCCTCATTTTTGACCTGGAGGCCTTGATTCAGTTCTTGTCCATCGGCACTCTTCTAGCCTACACCCTTGTGGCAGCAAGCGTAATTGTGTTGCGCTTCCAGCCTGAAAAGTCCAACTCCAAAGGAACTCCTTCTTTGTCTCCAAACCCTAATGCTGAAGCGTCCCCTGTCCCCTCAGAGTCCCAGACTATAACAGAGGACAGTGCAGACCTGAAGCAGTACGAGTCCTTTTCAGACAAACTCCAGTTGGTGGACAGACAGACGACACAAGAGCACCGTGGGGTGGGGCAGCTGAAGGCCTTCTGGGAGCCGTACCTCGACAGGTTATTTGGGGATTGTGTGCCGGGGGAGGTGGTGGCCTACTGTGTGATGACTCTGATAGTGAGCGCAGTCTCTTTCTGTGCCGTGTTGGAATTTGGTACCAAAAATCTGCAGCTGCCTCTCTGGAGTTTCACCTTGCTACTGGTGATTTTCAGCTTAGCTTTTGTGCTCAGCTTGGCTCTCATCTGGGTCCACGAGCCACAGGCCAACAGCAAAACATTCCAGGTGAGTTCCTCTTTGGATTATATTGTTTTGGTCCAACTACGTAGTGGGTGAAGACCACCTGGTTTTGTCTTTGGCTGATCTGCTCTTCATCAAAGCTGTCACATGAATTTGAATGATGTCTGTGTGCAGGTACCTTTGGTTCCATTTACTCCAGGGCTCAGTATTCTCATCAATGTGTTCCTCATGATGAAGCTCAGCCTCTTAACCTGGATTCGATTCACTGTCTGGATTGGAGTTGGTAAGAGCACAGCTCTCTGTTATCTATACGCACAAGCATTCTTTAGGAGTAATTGATGCATCAGTGTGTAGTCTTGTTGATCATCAAGCTGTTGTCCATGGTTTGTTGCTGATACACATTATTGTTTTGAACAAACAATTCCTGTAACATAGTTGAGATCAGTACCAAATACACCTGTGAACATTTTTTTATCAAGGGTGGTCTTGTATAATACTCAACTCTACCTTAGTGTTTTAATGAAGGTGAACATGATGTACAGTATAGTCTACTATGACTTTTTTTTAATGAACATGCATAAGTACTAGGACAGAAGGAACTTTAAGTCAGTAAATCTCCAAGGACAGGTTTGACAGGTTTAAAGTCCTGTCCAATAGATGAGAGATCCCGCTGAAGAGCAGTTAGTCCAAGGCCTCCAAACCAAACCAAACCATAAACCTTTGAATCATCTCTGTCAGACTGGTAAAAGTTAACAAGGAATTATTGGATATCTGTCATTCACATTTGTTAAAATGAGTGAAAAAAATGGAATCAGATAAATTAATCAACATGACTAACAGGTCATTTGGACAGCCCTAGTAAAGAGACACTGATGAACTAATTCCCCTCTCTCTCTCTCTTCTCTCTCACGTGGTGCTGCCTAGCGGCAGCTTGGTGGAAACTGTCCAATCTGTGCAGCCCGATGGACAAGTGGAAACTCCTGCACATCACGTCAATGCCACTAGCCCCCCGCCTGCACAGGAGTGCACAGGAAATAGATGATGTGAAAGAATTATATTTCCAACTGCCTGTTATTTTCTGATGTTTACCATTGAAACACAGTTTTACTGTCATCGTGGTGTTTGGATGGAACTCCTTTACTGTGTGACCTTGTGACAAGAGGGAACACACGCTTTAATACGTCCCATAACATGCAATACCACATGTATTTAGCCTGCCATTAATGCTGAAGTTTCTTAATGAAAATGCTAAAATACCATATTGTGTCATCTTTCCCTGTGGGTTTAATTGTCATAAATGTGAATGTAAACAATGCATTTCCCATGATATATATATATATATATGCACATATATATGTAAATATATATAGTATATATATATATATATATACACACAAATATAAAATTTGTTTTCACCGTTATACAGTATCAGGTGCTTTTTCTAACAAACTGCACTTTGATTCATGTTGAGCTAATCTGGGTCAGGACAAGCACAATTTCTAGATTTACAAAAATGATCCCATTACATTTGATGTATCTCAGCACTTGGACCTGCCATGTTGGACCACTACCATAACCGACCTTCAATGGCTGACATGGTTTCTGTAGTTCAACTCATACATACGTTTGATCCACATCCAGGGTGTGGTCCAAATTACTCTAGGTTTATTCATGATGACCAAGAAAAAAAGATGCCATTGGACCATGAATTACATCTAAACAGCACTGCGCTTTGACAGTTGCTCATAGCATTCATAGAAAATACAGCTGACTTGGTTGTTTTGGAATTTTAAAAACTGAGCTGCCTTTACACTCTTGAGTACTTTCTTTGTTATTTATTTATATTTTCTGTTAGCTTTCCAGCCTCACTTTTTGCATTGCTGGTGTTAATAGAAGGCATTTAGTTGTTTATTGGCTGAGGTGTCATTGCTCTTGGTTTTTCTTACGGCCGAGGTCACAACCTTAACTTAAAGATATCAAAGTACCTCAATGATTGATTTTCTGTTGACTTTAAGTCCAGATCCAAGCAGTTAAGCACATACATTTTTCCAATCGAGAAAGTTATTGCAGGCGGACAGACTTTGGCGCTATTACACCAAAAAAAGACCTCTGTAATCCCAGCAGATTTGAAACCGTTCCTAACACCTGTTTGCAGTGTGACCTAAATCAGGCACAGATGTGAGAACTGCTCAAGTTCCGCTGAGAACATTCCCACGGCTGACACAGTGACAATGAATCAGCACAGGACCTTGTTTTGTGTTCATTATATTAATTTGTAAATTTACAATATTTTGTTTGTAAGTGTCTGATATCAGAAACCATTAGCCTTAAACATGTAGTAATCTGCACACACTGACACACACACTGACACATACACACTCTAAGTGTGATTGTTGTTACAGTTCTCACTTTAGAAATATTAAACCAAAAAGGGGTTCAAAGGTGGATTTGTTTTGACTGAGTGAAATGGAATATAACTTTGCACAGAAATGTTTTTTGGTAATTATCTGTCATTGTTGTGGCTTTGTTGTTAGAGGTGTTGGCATATATACAGTAAATACTACGGTGATTTTTAGGTTTTCTCACCTTGCTGTCTTTTTGTGCCAGACTGCACAGCTTCAAATATTACAGTACTTTTCTTACCTCTGCTGTGTTGTACTGTGTGATCTTTCTGTTTATGTGTACAATTGTATAAAGCTCAATGAAAAATAAATGTTGTGATGCAGCATTTATAAATGTTTACACCAGGAATTATTGGTGGAAAAGAGCATCACAAAATTCATGTTTGTAATAATTTAGTGCTTTCCACCATCAAAGGGCGACAACTGAGGGCTACAGAAGGTACTTCAGTTACTGCAGGGCCTCTGACTCGTTACTATTACTACTCTCCTTACTGTTGAGCAAGAGTGTTAACCACCCTTCCACTGTATGAACCCAGTCCCCTTAATTGTTTCAACAACAGTATATAGTGTGTGTTTCCTGATATTACCCTGTTAAAGGGTTTAATTCCAAGGTTACCAAGGTTTAATTTCAATTGTAAAAAATACATTTCCTGAGGGGTTTTGGAAGTTGGGCAGTTCAGTATTTTACATTTACATTTATCCAAAGTGACTGACAAGAGGAGAATTAACAATCAAGCTATGAGACAAGTGCAAAGGGATAAGGGAAGTACAGGAAAGTGCTANGAAAGAGGTTCTCTCGGAATAGCTGGGTCTGTAAGAGCTTTTTGAAAATAGGTAAGGACCCCCTGTTCTGGTGGTGCTTAGTATGATCCAGTTGAAAGTTACATGATTTTTACATTTAGTTAAGCATTGCCTTTTCATTATATAACAAAAATTTTGTTTAAGGTCATCTTATCTAAAAAATAGTTACAACGAGGGCAACTGGAAGGAGTAGGTTTCTTGAAGACGTTTCACCTCTCAGCCAAGAGGCTTCTTATGTTCTTAAGTGTTTGTGTCAACAGGACAGTCTGGACTTTAATCATCAGCATGGATGACGATAGAAAAGGAATTGTTGTTGGAACTGGTCATCAGCAGTGTATATATGCAATAGCCTGTCAATCAATTTAAGGAAAATATTCCTTACTGTAGCTGGTTATTCACAGTCCACAGAGGCCATCATTGAAATATGGAACCCATAGATTCACCGATCCTCTGAAGGTTTGTTGCTGTGTGGGCATTTCAATAAAACACGAGAACATAAAATTTGGTAACGTACAAAATAAAACCTATGAGAGGTTAGCCCTTGAACCTTCGTCATTTTCATACGCTCGTTAATGCAACCATATACAGCACAACACCAGTCAATAGCATCTCCGCTACTGACCGCCCGTCCCAATATGGCGGCGGTATCGACGCATGGTCTTACGCTGAAGGCGACTTCTAGTGTTATGATATCTATGAGTCGCTCTGAACAGAGTGAGCTGCGGGTTGGTTCAGATCTCGATTGTCGTCAAACTAACAGGCGCCTTCGGCTCGTCACACGGCCTACATTGCAATGCTTAAAAGGGCAATCTGGATTTGTACAGCAGAACCACCAAAGTTACAATGAGGGTTCGTTTTGCATTTTTTCACAACCGTTGTTCCGAATATAACTATATTAGCCTGAAGCTAATGTTAGCGATGTAGCCTTCTGACGCTTGTTTGTGTTGTCGTCCTGGCCACAGCCTGGCCATTGCATACATGTAGAATTAACAAAACCAATATAGGTTCGTATTTGAACAACTTGCATAGTTTTATGTTCGCGACTTAAACGTTAGTCGGCTATCGAATACACGAACATCTATACAGACAAACTATGCAGCTAGCTCAAATGTGAGCTTAAGTTAATTTTTCTTACCATTAGCTGCTTTTGTTTCATTATTAAGATAAGTTAAGATAAGACTTTATTCATCCCACATCGGGGAAATTCAGTTGTTACAGCAGCAGGATAGACTTGTATGTACGTAGACTTTTGTATCTAAAAGTAAAGTAACAGCAGGGTAGACATAGTATTTACTTTAAATACTGATAATGTTTCATTGTGGTTAAAAAACTTGGTAAAACATGCTTTGGAGGCATTTTTGACGTTTCACGACAGTTGACTTAAATGTTGTTGTCCATGTCATCTGATTCAGTTTAATTTTGTTCAGTTCATTATCGATTGTTTATTTTAACCATGCGTGGAAGTTACTCGCAATTTTCTGAAGTAATTACAAAAAGAAGATGTTGTGTTACTGTCAGGCAGGGGCCTCGTCCATGTGGGCTTCATGCTGTGGTCTGCTGAATGAGGTCATGGGTACTGGGGCTGTCAGAGGCCAGCAGCCAGGTTTTGGTGCCGGTGCTGGTCCATTTAGATTCGCACCCAGTGCTGGATATTCCACTTATCCGCCCACCGGCTCAGGGAGTTTAAGTCCAGTTTGTAAGTCTTGTGCCCAGGCTTTCTCTGTCTTCAGGAGAAAGGTAGGTGGCCAGTTTTTAATGATTTTAAAAGCACTCTATCCATAAGAAATTTTTTTTATTATTTTTTTAATATTCTATTTAATGAAACTCGTGATATTGAAAGAACTGTACTTGACTGATAAAGACATTTAACAGTTTAATACATTTTTTCCCTTTATTCCCTTAAAAGTACATTTGCTGCGACTGCAGAAAGAGCTTCTGTACTCTCTGCTGCGTACTTCAGGAGAATCTGCGCATCTGTGCCACTTGTCATTTGCTGAAGGCTACAGCCTTTCAACGGCCTCGACTCATGCGTCTTAGAGTAAAGGACCTACGTCAGTACCTGCTTCTTCATAACGTCCCAACTGACACATGCAGAGAAAAAGAAGAGTTGGTACACTTGGTACTGTGTCACCAAGGCATTGAGGAAGAAGAGGAGCAGGAGTCGAGCAGCATCCATTTACATTCCCAGTATACACCGTTTACCACACAGTCTGCCTCTGAGTTGTCAACTTTTGTTAACTCTCAGGAGGAACCACTCAGCAGAAGTGACAGCTCTGATACCAACCAGGTGACTTTGGATTTTAACTGACAGGCGAACACATACATAATGTACATGATACATAATAGGACCTGCATGAATATTCTTAATATACCTCTCTTTCTGGATGGATGGATAGATGGAACTTTTTTAATCCCTCGGGAGGGCTCCATCAGCAGTACAGCACCAAAACAACAGGAATAACACGAGAATAGCAGCAATAACCCGTGTTAGGGTTATTGCTGCTATTCAAAGAATAGAGAGTAGTAATATAGATGAGTAAATTAATAGGCTATTTTTATTGTTAGTATTAGTATTAGAAGATAATTATTATTGTTTCATGTGGTGTTATTATTGACATTTTTATTATTAAATTAAATTTAGAATTTTATATACTAAAGTCACAGAACAGACTCCTGATTGCTGTTGACACTGTGCAGAGGATGTGTCCAGAATGGCGATCAGTTTGCCAAGTTTCCTGTCCTCTGCCACTGTCACCAGAGGGTTGGACTTCCCGTATACGACAACATGCAGCTGTAGTATGTGTAAAAAGGTGTGGTTGTTTTTTATAACAAAAAACAACAACAACATTGACAAAGTTAAATGATCTGCTTTTCTAACGGATGGCACAATTATTTGATATAATTGTCAAGTTTCTTCAACATATTTGTTCTGTTTCTGAGGGTACAGGAAATTAATTCATCAGATCATGTGACCCGGAGAATCTGGGAAGCAGTTAAGACAGGACAGATAAAGAATAGGGATAGTGGACCATCTGGAAAAGTACATGTAGTGTTTACCACTTTTTGTTTTTTGCTGTTTTGTCTGCAGGACATAGGTGATGCCACATCAGTTTCTCTCCTCAACCTGGATCCGAGTGAGCACACCCCTGAGGTCATCAAACGTCTTTCAATCATTTTTCAATAACTTACACAGGGCTATATACAAAACCATTCTAGATATGTTGTAGATGTAGCGAGACCAAAACACACTGTCAGGCCTGATGATATCACATTTCCTATTATTGTCATCAAATGCTTTATTTCTTTTCTTCTTTTTGCAAAATCACCTTTAACAAATTGCAAATAAAAAAGCTGAATTATGTTTTGTTTTTTTTTTAAATCATATAGTCCAGTCCTCTTACACGGCGTCGGGCTAGAGCTTCACTCTCAGATATTTCCAGCCTAAGGGACATTGAGGGCCTGTCTGTGCGACAGTTGAAGGAGATCCTGGCCAGGAACTTTGTCAATTATTCAGGGTGCTGTGAGAAGTGGGAGCTGGTGGAGCGTGTCAGCAGACTATACAGAGAGACGGAGGAGAACAGGAAATCATGTAGGTATTAAGAACAACCAGTAAATACTGTATGGGATGAAAACTGCATATTTTCTATGCATATATTGGCACGATGATAAATGTTATCGCAGCACACAGCGCAGTAATAAATATAATTTTCTCTTGCAGTGGAAAATGTGAGCAGTACTGTCCGCACAGGTGAGCTAGTTCCAGTTTTTCAATGTAGTGTTGATAATGAAAGCATTTAGTTAGTATTACAGTGGAACCTCGGTTTTTGAACTTAGGGTTAGGGTTAGAACCGAAAAGTTTGAAAATGGAAACAATTTTCTCCATAGGAATTAATGTAAAATGGATGAATCGGTTCCTCGATGATTTCTGATTCAAACTTTTTCAACAGTATTTTCTGAACAGGTTTATGCACGAAACCAATGGAAATATATTATACAGATACAAGTTTAATACGTTCCACATCAGCACTTGTACGTATGTCCTTCCACTCGTATCTCAATTGCATTTTCCTCATTAAAAATAACGCAAAACCAATTAATTAGTTTCAGCCCCCCAGAAATATAGCATTAATTAATTAAATTAAAGTCCCCCATCTAAAGATCAAAAACATAGATATAAAAAAATATATTGATAATATAAAATAATAATAATTAAGAAAACAACACAGGTGAATAAAGAATGAAGCTATAAATAAGAGAGGTAATTTCATTGGTCCTTACGGCTGCTGCGGAGTCCTGATTGGACAATATGCACTTCACTTTCTTACTAATGATTGTCTCTGAAATACTGTGGTCGTCCGGCTGTTAGTCGACTGATCCAGATCAGTGTCAACTTTTCCACTTCTTCTACTGTCTCAGATCTTTTCATGGTGATCACAGTCACTCCTTTGAACCTCAGCTTCTTTTATTGGTTCTTCTTCTTAATGATGCTACAAATCCACCACTTTGCTAAGACCTCTCTGAAACACCAGCTCCATTCCCATCTGTCCTACAGTCTTTTTTCACTTCTTCTGTTCTTCTCACTATTTTTCTTTCTCATAGTGATTTAAAGAAATAGAACAGCGCAAGAAATACCAGCAAAACCAGAATCAACAGTTCTTAGTGTTTATATGTCCCAAGCGTGGACTGACACCACACACTCGGTCACTCAGCGATCACTTGCTGCTTGTGTGGTATTGTCTCTCGTTTGGCAACCGAGTTATGGTACAACAACCGGGGCAATTTTTGGTTTAAAATTTTGTTCATGAACCAAACTGTTCAAAATTTGGGGGATTTTGAGAACCGAGGTTCCGCTGTACTTCATATACCAGCTGTGTGCCGGATGAAGTACCACAAGTCTACCTAGTCCTGCTTGTTCAGGTAAGACCAGTATTTGAAAAGGAAAAGATTCCAGATGGAAAACATTTTGGTCGCATGACTAGTAAAACATATGACCTAAATTCAGTGTCATTTAAAACATAACCTGCTGCCAAGACTGTCCACCATGAAAACACAGACAGAGTGGGCACCCTGGGGGGCCCTCCCCACTGCAGTAGACAAAGACCCACTGACACGATGTCCTGTAAATTGTTTGCCCTTTATGGAATTTATAGCGTTTCGCTACTATGCTACATTACCATGCCCCTGGGCACGAGGACTGTCAATGGAAATGAGCCTTTTGGCTACAATTGGGTGCATTTACGTTTCATCTTTAAATGTTCATTGACGTACATCGTCCTTCTACAACACATAAAAGATAAAAACAAAATACAACTCTCTCTCTCTCTCTCTCTCGCTCACTCACATACACACACACACACACACAGAACATCTTTTAACACAATAAAAAAAAGAATCCTCACTAGTGAGAGCCCATGTACCACTTGTGGTACCTTACCATAGTTTGAGTATCCATCAGGTTTTAGTCATTGGGTAAGATGCTAAAATGTCTTTTGGTTTCATTTTCTCCCTTTTTTCTTACACACACACAATAAAGTGGTGGCCTCCCCCCCTCCCATCTGCAATGGAACTATTGGAGGTAAGGCTTGTGTATTCCTATCCAGTGTTGCTATGGTTGCACATTCCATCACTGTCCACCTCATCTTTGTAGCTTGAGCATCACATCACATGTTCTCACTGAACTCTGTTTTACTCATTGTGTCTCTGCTCATATTTCTGTGGAGACATCTGTGTCTCTGCTCATATTTCTGTGGGGACGTCTCTGTCTCTGGTCATATTTCTGTGGGGACGTCTCTGTCTCTGGTCATATTTCTGTGGGGACGTGTCTGTTCTCTGGTCATATCTCTGTCTCTGGTCAAACTTCTGTGGGGACGTCTCTGTCTCTGGTCAAACTTCTGTGGGGACGTCTCTGTCTCTGGTCAAACTTCTGTGGGGACGTCTCTGTCTCTGGTCAAACTTCTGTTGGACCTGTTTTATCCTATAAAGTCTAAATATTTAATGCTTGAGTTGCTTGTGTAGAATTACTACTGTAGTAGTGATGTGTAGTACTGTGTAGAATTACACTTCTGTTTGAAGAAAAGAAATATATTACACAAAACACAAGTCTTTGGAAAACTATGAAAGAAGACATTATGGGATGTTGTGACGTCTGATTTGGTTGTTGGAGACGACAGGATTAAGGGATGCATTTTTTTTCTTCTGTTTTTATTTGTGGTCAGAAAAACAAGTAATTTCTGTGTGGAGGACTAAGTCCTGGTTCAGGGGTAATGGTGAAGCAGGTGCAAGAGCAGAGTTTAAGGTTGCATTGGTGAAAGGTCATTGCTGCACCTAAATAACTTAGGATAAAACCGCCCTGGAACTGTTTGAAATACCTTTAGAATGTACCGGTACTTATTTTTCATATTCGTCACTTTGACTGTCACTTTTTGTTGTCCTCCCTGTGCATGAGAGTCAGGTTCTTTTACCCTCGTTCACCCTCATCTGTTTTGCCCCCTGTAGATGGTGAAAGAGGTCCAATGACCATTCCTGATGACAACCTCTGCAGGATCTGCATGGACGCCACCATTGATTGTGTTCTTCTGGAGTGTGGTCACATGGTCACCTGCACAAAGTGTGGCAAGAGGATGAGTGAGTGCCCCATCTGCAGGCAGTACGTGGTGAGGGCTGTGCACGTCTTCAAGTCATAAGACGGCGTAGTCACGTGATGTGACGAAGGCTGCCTCAGCTCACGTTCACGTTCACAGAGGAGACGGTTTTTGTGGTTGCTTTATGTTTGATTTCACATTATTTGCACATTGAAAACTTCTTCATTCTTTAGAATTTGGACCCTAGGTTGTTGTGTCCTGTCCTCAGTCCGTCTGGTATGACCTGTCGTTCCTACGTGTCTGTTTGTGTTTAACCTGTACCTGTATAACACCTGAACATACATACAGACAGACAGACAGACAGACCAACAACCTACACACACATTAACATCTATAACTGAACACACACACACACACTCTCATACAGTCGGAGTCCCAGCAGGTGTCAATCATCCATGTTTCTTCTTCTTCTACGTCTTCTTCTGCTGCTGCTGCTCTTTTCTCACGGCCCTGCTGCGTTAAAACACAACTGGTGGCTGAGCAGCATGAGTCAATGTTGTTGTTTCTGTTGTTGCCACCTTTTCAATGTCTGAATTTGACCCAGAAGAGGCTGATTTTTTTTTGCCCTACTTTACTCAAATGTGATTGATGGACACTGAGGACTGATTATTTTCTGACTCAGTGTTGCTAATATGTTTCAGCTCATTTCACTCATTCAGCTTCATTATTGACATTATAATCTTAGGAACTCCATGTCACCTCAGTCTTTGTCTCAGCACCACGAGCAGAGACGCTGAGACAAACAAAACAACGGTGCTAACCCCACAGACTGTTTTATTCCTGTTTACTTGTGGATGTGACGCTGAGTGATGTGTTACATTTTGTTGTGCTTTATTGAGAATGGTAAGTCTTAATGCTTTTTTTATTAATTCCTGATAACAGAGTAATATATAAACAATTTATTTAAATGACATTTGTGATAAACAAAGTATATAACATGACTTAAAAATGTATATATGCATATATTGACTGGCATGAGATGAACAGCTATATTTTTTTAATTCTAGCATTCTTGCTATTTTCTTTGCTGTGTTGATTTCTACATAGATTTGCTTAAACTCTTTTGTTTGTCTCAAACCAGAGCACCATGGGAAACTGACTCTGCTCGTGTCACTGTTTCACACGGTGCAGTTTTTGTGTTTGTGTCTGTCTCACTTCCAGTATTTTTCCTTTTATTTCAGTATATCTACTGTATGCACACAGATTCACAGCTGCAGCTATACAGATATAAATAGTAGCAGAGCAGCAAAAATTATTTCAACATCTGAAATTTTTACTCTGTAGATTAAATTTTGTTTTATACCACACTGTGATTCTGTTATTGCTCACTTTTTTGCAGTTGGGGCCCAGGGGCATGTGTATATATATATATATAAATATATATATATACATACATACTGTATATAGCTATGTATGTATATACATATATGTATGTAGACATACAGACAGTTCCGTCCACCAAAGCAGAGACGTTTAGCGTCACATAATGAAGTTATTTCATCATTTGTGTTTGAAAACAAAGATGTGTTTTAGATATAGTCAAGGATTTCCTTCACTTTCTGACTCCTCTGCTCCACGGAGCTCTCTGCTTGACAATCCTCCACCTCTGTTTGTTGTTTGGCACCAGCCACCATCCAACAGCAGGACAGATCAGGGATGGCCAAACAGTTAAGGGGCTAAGAGCCACAATTTTTACCGTGTTACTGCAAAGAGCCACATGATATACATGGGCACACATGAACTGCCCCATCCCTTTAAAAAAAAAAAAAATAAAACTCAAACCCGCTTAAAACTTGCTCTATACATCTTTTCTTCTGTGCAGATTGAAGTAAGAAATAATGTGTCAACGCCCATCGGAATGAGATTCAAATTGCATAAAAAACCCCACAAACATAAAATTTGACATGAATGTAAGAGCCGCATGTAATATACACAGTATATACAGAATATTTACTATTATAACATTACAATGTTGTAAAAATGACAGCATTATGGCATAACAAGTATGCTAGCCACTATGTCACTGTCTGTGTGGCGTCACTCCAACTCAGGATATACACACTAAGATCTGGATTTGCTGGTATTTCTTGCGTTGTTCTATTTCTTTCTTTCTTTCCATAAATCACCACGAGTAAGAAAAACAGTAGAAGTGAAGAAAGATTGTAGGAAAGATGAGAATGGAATTTCAGATGAGTCTTTACAGTCTGGCTGAGCAAAGAAGAAGAAGAATCAATAAAAGAAGCTGAGGTTCAAAGGAGTGGCTGTGATCACCATGAAAAGATCTGAGACAATAGAAGTGGAAAAGTTGACACTGATCTGGATCAACCACTAACAGTTGGCCGACCACAGGATTTCAGAGACATTTAGTGTCTACTTCAGAGAGTATTTAGTGAGAAAGTGAAGTGAACATTGTCCAATCTGGACTCCTCAGCAGCTGTAAGGACCAATGAAATGACCTCTCCTATTTAGAACTTCATTCTTTATTCACTTGTGTTGATCTTTTTGTTGGATCTAAACCTGCTGAAGTAGAGTCTGACGGCGTATTTTCCAACGCTCCTGAAGTAGCATGTGAGAAGTGGGACCTGGAGAGCCCTGATTGGCCATCCTGGGTTGGGGTCTGTGCTCATTGGCAGTCTGACACCAAGGTACATGGTCTGATTGGTGTATGGGAGGCAGTGGGAGGGGTGGTGGTGGAGTGGTCTGTTGTCAATCACATCCATATTGTCAGTTATTCTGTGTTTCTTTCTTTTTCATCTTCAAACAGACATGTACATTTTCTTATTGATGTGAAACATTTTTACTTCCTGTCATTTCAACTGTCTGATGTTAGTTGCGTCATTGAAGTGGACCCTGTAGTTTTGGTCAAATGCTTGTATCTAGTGGACATATTTTTAATTCGTCTTCAAGCAGCCATACTTATATAAATAAATAAATAAATAAATATAGTATATTAAGTCCTTATTGTCATTTTAGACATCCCAGAATAAGATTCTATTTTTCAGTTCTTAGTGTCATCTCAGTTAGCCTCCCTAGCCCCTCCCTTAGCCCTTCCTAAGCCCCTCCCCCTTACCCAGGTGTAGTATATAAGGTCTCCAAATGGCTCAGTCCTCTCTCTGACTGCTCCCTGGAGAGGTTCTCTGTGTTGGTTTAGGTAGTTCATGTTCTTGGAGCTCTGTTCTGTTCCGTTCCGTTCCGTTCCGTTCCGTTCTGTGTTAGGTTTCTCCTTTCCCTCTGTTTTCTGTCTGTTTGGACCTGCTTTCTCTTTTGTTTGGCCTGATTAGTTTCTTTGGTTGGGGTTAAGCTAATGCTGTCCCCGTTTTCATTCTTTTCTTTGAGTTTGTATGTTGATTTGTGGTGTTGTAAATATTTAACTGTGTTGTTGGTTTTGTTAATTTTGTGCTTATTTTGTGTTCCTGTTTTATTTATTTTTTATTCTAGCCTGGGTGTGGCAAGCTAGGCCCTGTGGTCAGGACCCCGCTCCTGTTAGGTCCCCCTACAGGCCTGAGCTGTAGCCTATTAGCTGTTAGCTTCTTTGGTTTTGGTCAAATGAAATGCTTCATCTAGTGAAGTAGGCCACTCGGCACCTCATGTTGAAGCGCTGGCTCAGGTGCAGCTAGTTAGTGGTGTTTTGATGGTGGTGCGACCCCTACAGGCCTGAGCTGAAGCCTGTTAACCACTTTGGGTTTATTTCAGTTGGGCACAGAGCTCGAGTTGTGGAAACACCATTAAAGATGTGTAAAATGTTAACCTAATGTAACTAAATATAAGCTCTGTAGATACTAATGTTTGTACATTGTCATTTAAAAAATCCTTTTTATTTTACATCAGGGTGGATATAGGTTTTGATTTAGTTTGTGGTTTTTAGTGTTTTTGCTGTGGTCTTCAGTTACTTTAATAACGAATGTGAGTGACTGATTTTTTTTTTTTTTTGGTTTATGGTTTTTACATGGAAAAAACCCTGGGTATTTGATCTGTTAGTTTTTTTTTTTTTAATGATAAACAATTTGTGGCTTAATTTATGATTTGTGTTAAATCTTTTGTCTTACATAAAAGAGTGGATATTTATCTTGGTTCTTGTGTTGTTTTGTTTTGTTTTGTTTTTTTTTTAAACTATTTGTGTGTTTTTCTCTTTGATTACTACTTTGGTGTTTTACACAATGATATTGGTTGTTTTTCATGTTTGTTCATTTCTGTGGTTCATTTGTTTGTGGGCCTTTACAGAATCTTTTGATAGAAATTATATTGGTTCTTTGATTTTGAGTAATTCTTTGTGGGTTTGTACAGGTTGTTTTGACTTTTTTTATTTTTAGTAGTTGTCAGTTTTTGTGTTCTATATAAAAATCATTGTGTATGTGTATATATTGTGGTTAATTTCCTATTATATGGTTTTTAAGGAAAATATATTGTGCTGTGATTTATGTGGGTATTTTTCATAATGTCTTGATGGTTATCAGGTAAAAATAAAATGCAGGTATTGTGTTGTCTGTGGTTCTTATGATTTGTGGTTCTTTGGGATTTTGGATAAACTACATCTGGATGTCTTAGTTTGTAATAAATTATAATCTGTTATGGTCAGTTAGCATAAAAATGTACTTGACAGATTAAATTAACCAAATGTGTCCAACAGTATTTAGTGTTGCATAATCTTAAATGTCATGAAACAGTTTTGACTTTTAGCTCTGGTTTGTCTCACTTTAAGTCCATTTCCTAGTAAAGACTTGTCTGCCCCTCTGTGGCATTTAGATGAGGTGTTGGTAGGCCATCCAGCAGGGGAATTAAGTCCTCTGCTAAACTTGTTTACTGTATAATGCAGGAAAAAGATTTAAAATGTATAAATGTTCTGCTGTAAACTATCGAAGCTCTGGAAATCTGGCCTTCTGGACTGTAGGGTTGTCCAAGTGAACCAACTCCGTGGAGGAAAGATGTTCTCAGCCACGAGGTTTTCAGCGTTGTTCTTCACATTGACTTTTGTTAAACCTGTTGACTTTAATCTGTGTCTGAGTGATCTGATCTGTGTCCAGGAGTCTATGGGCCACAGTTTATCAAATATGGAGAAGATGAATCCTGGTTGAAGGGACCTGAGTTGATCAGTACTGAGCTTCTATGGGTTTTAATGTTTACATTCCAATTTCATGTGGGCAAATGTGAAATCGGAATGCAAACGTTTTATTTTAACGGTCGTAGTTTTCAGCGGGAATTTGTTGTTGCTATTATTGGTGCAGATTTCCGGTATGCTAATGGCTTTCTTATACATGTCTTCTGCTACTTTTTTGTGTTTGTGTGACGTTATTGTGCATTTCATCTCCTTGTGGCTGCATGTTTTTGCGCGCAGGGCGCTGTCACTACTCATGATTGCTGCCCACAAAATCAGTACTTTTCATGTTCGACTTCATATTGCACTAAGAAAGATTTAAGTGTGGTTGGGTCTGGTGCAGAAATGTTTTCCCTTCAGCGCACAGACTGAGACTGCACGTCTGGTTCATATAGACGCCTAGGCTCCGGCCACTTCTCCGCTTCGTCTTGTTTGTGCTCTCTTCTTTTTTTAAATTTTGACTCCTTAGAGTGTCTATGCATAACTTCCAATTTAGAAAAACCTTTTAAAATGTAATAAATTGTTTTAAAGATTAACTAAAAATTATACATAAAAACTATTAAAAAAAAACCTAAAAACTACTAATTAAATAAATAATATAATTAGGGTTAGGGTTAGGAAGGGGGGGTTCGGTCAAAGACCAAAGAATCCGTTTCCACACTTCACCCTAGGAATACTCTGGGGGCTCCGATGGGGTTAGGGTTTAGGGTTGTTAGGGTTAGGGTTAGTATAAGAGGTTGGGTGAAAATACCCACCGTCCTCCCTTAAAGGGAGGAAACGGAGATGTGCGCTCCATCCCAGGGTCATTCCTGGTGCCCCGGTCCCTGGATCTCCCTCCAGTGTGTGTTTTCAGGTTCTAGGTCTTGGGTTTCGATAACCCTGTTTGTGGGAGCGACCTCTTCTCCCATATACTGTCCAGCCCTCAGTTTGTGGTACCATCTTAAATGTCGATTGTTTTAAACAAATTAAAGAAATAAACAAAAAAAGCCAAGGAAACAAAATGTAAAATAAACCCAAATGCAAAATTCTTTCAAAAAACACTTGTTAAACCAAAGAAATTGCTTTGCTGTTTTTTTTGAGAGCTGTTTACCCTTCAGCGAACAGACCTCGTAGTCACGGCCACAGTTGGGGTTTGTGTTTTTGTTAAACTTCTTAGAATTAAGCTTCATCTCTTCTAATTGAGTTCTATTTGAGTGTAAAATCATTTAATTTTATTCTATTAAAACTATAATATTTTTGTCCTATTATGTGAATAATTTAAAATATAAGACAATAAAAAAAATAAATAAATAAGAAAGGAACTTCTGCCCCCAGTGGATGGATGGAGCAATGACCAGAGGAGGACTGAACCAGCTGCCACATTGGTTCTTATAAACGGTGGTTTTCATAAACAGGGTTTCCGAGGCTTTAAAGGAGAGAAAGGTGAACCAGGCTTGCCAGGCCTGGACGCGCTGGATGCCCCTTGCCCTGTGGTATGGTGCTCTTTCTTTCCCTTTTAGTTTTTCCCAGCATGCACCTAGCTGTCCCTAACCACACACCTGAATGATAGCATTACAATTTTGAAGAGAGGGTTGCATGTTTTTGTTCAGATTAAAGCTGTTTCATTTATATTGTCATATAACTACTACAATTCTAACTGGAGTGAGCCTGATAACAATTAATTGTTTGATATATTGAGGTTGAAATGTATTTTTATTATCTATCTACACACACACACACACACACACACATATATATATATTAGTGGATCTAAATCAATAATAATAATAATAATAATAATAATAATAATAATAATAATAATAATCTACACCTTCTGTACCAGAAGTCCATAGAGAAAATCATCAATCTTACCTCACTTCCAAAGGATCTCTGATGTCTTTATCAGTTGGTTGTTTTGTGTTTTTTTTATTGCAATTATTATTTACTTGAGTTTTATATTTTGCCAGTATAGCAGCGTTGTCTTCAACTAAACAGGAGTACATTTTTAGTAAATTCAAACTAGAAGATTATTATATTTCATTACATATAGTTTTTG